AAGCTTGTAAACACACCCCAAGGGGGGGGGCTCTCAAACACTTCTCTAGAGCTCCCTTCCCTTCTCTCCCTCAAATTTTCTTAGTTTTGCTTTCTAGTTCTCAATTCTAGCTTTCTTTAATGTTTTCTTAGTTGTAATTTATTTTTCTTTGTTATGTAAATTCTTTTCTTAAGTTTTCAAGTTGAATTAGTTTCCATGTTTCAATTATGGTTTTTGTTCTTATTCATTATGCTTATAAGTTAATATGCTAGTTTGAATGATTGATCACCATTTAGGCTTGCATGTTAGCTATCTTGGTTTGAATTAAGAGTATACACCATGCTTTAATTCGAATTGAACTATGAATAGGAAGAGTATGTATGGACATTCGACAACAGGGATTAGATACATGCTTGGTTGTTTAAATTGTTCTTCTATGCTTAATGGGTTCCTAATGCTTAATTTTAGGTTAGACAACAAATGATCAAATTAGGGAATTAGGAACACAAGGTTATGACCACACACCATGGCTTAATCATACTTTAGCTAGAATCAATCCATTAATCTAATTGAACTTGGGAACTTATTTGCTTGAGTTACTTATTTCTTTCTTCCTTGTTTTATTTATTTCCTCTTTTTCATTTCTGTTTTGTGTAGGGAAACTAAATTGGATCATTCAATCACCAATCCCTGTGGAATCGACCTCGCACTTACATACGCTAAACTACCAACGGCTCGTGCACTTGCGAGTATCACAAGTTGAGGATGCAGCTTAATCCATTTTGGTGGAGCTAAATCTACGCAACAACATCCCAGTTTGTGAAATTGCTCTCACAAATGCCATATTTGCCGTTACAGTTGGAGCACACCAGTAATCACCAGTACCAAAAACAACCTTATTCTTCAAAGCCAGTTTTCTAGTGGTTGGAAGGTTCATCATGCGTTCAGAAGGACTGTCAGGAACAACCCTATACCAATCCTAAAGGTTATTAGTACATGATAATACAATTTTTTTTAAAATATATATATATATTAAACCACGATTAACCATAGATATATAAGGGAGCAAAAATCATCAAACAGATCAAACAAAATGTGAATGAAACTCGAATTTTTTCTGACAGGCTTAACCCTGTTTGGACTTAATGCAGATTGCAGACTAGGGTTGGTTGGTTCTCGCAAATGTCTACTGTGCTTGTTTCCCTATTTCTACAATTTTTTTCTTTTCCTACATATATATAGAAGAAGAAAAAAAAACCCTATAGATATGCTTAATGTCCTACACTGAGGGCAACAGAATCTACATACTTTACCAACCTTGGAAGCAAATATCCCCTCTTGTTGAAACCATTCCTTCCAATCCATACTTTGCATTACGAAAAATCGGCCTAGGCGGCGTGGGTGGGTCTGGGCGGCTTGGGCAGCGCTAGGCGGGTCTGGGCTGCGCTAGGCCGGTCTAGGCGGCGCTAGGCGGGTGTGAGTGCCAAGGTGGGTCTGGTTCTTTTCTTTTGTTCTTTAAGCCTACTGCCTAGCGATTTTTCAAACTTATGCACTGCAGGGCTGGTCTAGGCGGCGCTGGGAGGGTCTGGGCGGCGCTAGGCGGCGCTAGGCGGGTCTAGGCGGCGCTAGGCGGGTCTGGGTGCCAAGGTGGGTCTGGTTCTTTAGGGTTTAGGGTCTGGGTGCCAGGGTGGGTCTGATTCATATGGGCGAGATGATCCTGACCTGGAACTGACAGAACCTCCACCTGATGTTGGTAATATGTTGGTTCTCTCCTATAGAGCAGCAACATGTACTATTTCCCAACCTCGTCGTCTAAAGACAATTGCTTTGCTCGCTCACTCCAGCCAACCTCGTCGTCTCCCTCGTCTGGTTCTTCTTTTGATGATTGTTCGCTGTCTGTCTGTCTGTCTGTCTATCTTGTCTTCGGAATATTAATTCAGGAAAGACAAGCTTTGCGCAACAAATGCAAATGTCATTGCCTTCCGTAAAACAACCCGATGTCATCACCTGCAAAGGTAGGTATGTTATTTCTACAATGCATGCTTGCTGCAATCTTCACATTCACAGTATGAATATGGAATTTGCTTCTGATTATAGTTATTAATCATGTATTATTTTGTTTTTTAAAAAAAAAAATTGTAAAAGCTGCGGTGGCATGGGGAGCTGGAAAGCCTTTGGTGATAGAGGAAGTGAATGTGAATCCACCTCAGGCAATGGAGATAAGGATCAAAGTCGTCTGCACCTCTCTCTGTCGCAGTGACATCACTGCCTGGGAGTCTCAGGTACTCTCCTCTTCTTATTTTGTCCTCCTCTTTTCCCCCTTTCTGTTCTTCTTTTCAACACAAATAGAGATAAAACAATGTTACTTTTCCTTCAATTCTTTTTTTCTTGTTTCCTACTTGTTGAACATCTAGGAAAATAATCATTATCTGGCTAGGAAAATTCGTTTAACTATTACTTATGGTTTCTGTCTGACCAAGAAAAATTAAAACTTTGTTTGTGCCACTGCCGGATATGCTTTCTTCTTTCCGGATGGATTAATTTTCTTGTAAAACAATTGTTCAAGATTAGTCATTAAAGTAACTGAGAAGAAGTAAACCTTGGTTTAAAGTAATGAACTTATCCATGAATTAATATCCTGTTTAAAATTTTCGAAATTCAGACCTATCAGGAGCTAAATATCAACTGACTATTCATCCTACTCCATTTCCCCCTGTTATTTTGCAGGCCATTTTTCTTCGAATATTTGGCCATGAAGCAACAGGGTAAGTTATTTCCCTATTTTTTTCATCTACTTATATTTATATTATAGTACTAGCTATCTTATGTAAGATTGAGAAACCATAGCATAATGCACAAGTGGCTGTACTATTTATATAAAATAAATTAAAAAAACCAAAAGAGGTCCCGCCCAGCGATTAGGCACCTGTGTGTCAACATAAGTATAGCCCTGCGGCTATACTATTAAAAAAAAAATTTAAAAAACCGGGTATAGCCGTGCGGCTGTACTACAGTAAAGCCGCTCGAGTATACTCCTTTTTAAAAAACATTAGGGAAAAGTAGCTTAAACAAGACAACAGCTTCAGTTGCTCAAAGCTAGTACTTATTTGAATCTTCAAGACGTATAACCTGAACCCCATTGCAAGGATCTGAATCCTGCTACATAGACACCATAAACTGTTCTAGTCAGATATAGACTCAGGCAAATAATACAACTGCGCTACAAAAATTTCTAACTAGTTCATTCCAGTTCCACAGAGATGAGATCAACAATACCTCATTCCTTTTTCTCCCACACGGCGTAACCCTTTCCAGAAGTTGCAATTTTGAGATCAACAAGACCCCAGTCAAAGAAGTGGTCATAAAACTGTGACAAAGATAATCAGATAAACAGAGTTGAAGTATGGGCCATAACCATCAAGCCTAAATAGGTTCACTAGGGAAACAGAAAGACCTCAAATACTAGGCGGTGAGAAAATGCTTAATCTGGCAACAATATCACATTATTTTATTTATATGTAATGGAAAGCAAATTCATGCTGAGTCTTCACCTAATTTTATCTGAAGTCAAATGAACTTTTCTGTCCAAACATCCTGAATCTAATAAATACCATAATGAGAATTCCAGGACATCCTGAATCTCATTTTATAGTCAGCTAAAAGGGCATTTGACAAGCACTTATGAAACAGAAAGATGGCCAAACATTGAAATTATTAATTATCACTATATTTATTCCTTTTTCTACTTCTTCTTCCAAGTGCAAGATAACCCCCAAAGGGGTTGCGGGTTTTTTTTTCTACCAATTGGGGATGGTCTACATGGTTCATAACTACTACGTTTATGACAGGACGCTTATCTAGTCAACATTTACAGGACGCGTACTACAGGATAACCCATCTATTTGTTTGATAATAATAATATATTTTTCTATTATTCAATGGCCGATTAAGGCAACCAGATATCTATAGAATTGTATCTTATTTCTATATACATCATCATTCCCATAAACTAAAGGCAGAAAGACACAAAGACAAGTACAAAATGTAGAAAAGTTTTAGCAGTGAGAGAGTCACAGATTTACAGCAAGGGAAAGACAATGGAAACTTCTTACTTCTCACATTCCTTCTCCTATAATGCCAGTGAGCATTGATCCAGTCACATTTACCAAAGACAGGGCAGGGTCAATCCCGGGGCTAGAACCAGTTGTGCTCCCTTCAGGCTGATGGTTGAGGAGAACATTGCTCTCAGTTGATGAGGTATCATCATCCACCAAAAAGCTACTTGTGGTTACATCTTTGAAATCCCAATCTGCCAAATAACTTGGCTTTGACATAACAGTGCTTGCTTCAATATCTCCAGAAAGTATTGCCACCACACGTGACATCGATGGCTTCATCATTGGTGAAGCCTGAGTGCAGAGGAGAGCTGCTTTTATCAATCTAGTTGCGTCATTTTCATCAAACTCTGTCAATCTCGGATCCACCAGCCCCAGACTCTGGTCGTTTTCATGTAGAGTCCATGCCTGAAAACAAACATCATGGCATGGTCAAAAAGGAAAAAAATAAAGAAGTTTTCACAACAATGCTAAAGTAAAAGTAGCTAGGCAAAGTTTTCCTACCCATTCAAGAAGATAAATCTTCTCAGGATCCAAGTTGTCATCAGAATTTTGTCTCCCGCTGAGGATCTCCACGAATATCTAGGTAATTCTCTGTCACATTAACCTTGAAGGGTATCGCAACTGCTCTGTTAACCCCACCTGCCTCCTTCGATATGTCAAAGTCCTTCCTTCTGAGGTTCCCCTAGGAAGCAAATGAAGAGATAGTTAAATAATTCTGTCTAATGAGGTTGCCTTTACTTTAATTAGCTTAAGTTTTTTTATTTTGCTTTATTAGCAGCCTTACTTGAATATAGATATCAAATACACGCCTTCCTGGACTTTGCGAAGTTTGTGTATCGCGGCTAGCAAAAACCGTTTCTGCAAATTGCAATGTTACAGTATAAGGTCCATTCTGAAGACCCAGGCCATAGTATCTCAGTGAACCTGGGGACACTCTTGAAGTCTAGAAAAGCTCTAGTGTCAAATCTGCACCGGAGACTTGCGTAAGGGTGGTTTCCACAAATGATTGATTCAAATTATCAGAAAAACCTGCATTGCTAACAGCCCATTTCTGTGTACTGGTTACATTAAATGTTGCTGGGCCAAGAGCTGAGTCTTCAGCCTCATACAATATGCCATCATTTCCTCTCATTTGTGGTCCTCCACACTTGATTGAGAAGTTTGTATCTGTACAATTCAATGTAATAGCACAAGCTATGATTAGTGAAAAAACTTCAAATTGATCTAATAGCACAAGATATGCTTATTAGATTTATCAAGACATTCCTACAATATGTATACGTAATGAGATAAGCAATGCCTATTGCGGTAACATGATCTTGCATTAAAGAAATAAATGCTAGTGAAATACAGAAGAAAATTACATCGTGGGGTATTTCGATTGCATGGAAAATTCCTCTGGAGGCAATTCAATCCAAGAAGACTGTAAACACAGAGAACAAATTATTATTTATAATCATTAAACTGTAGTGGAAGAATCCATTAAACTGCAAAAGTGTAATAGCAATCACTTTATGTTTGAAATATCCGTCTAAAAAAACGGGTATTTCGATTCAACTCACGTTATGTTTGAACTGTCAAATGTGAAGTTGTTGACCACTAAATTCCTGCATAAAATCATTAATCAATCCACATATGAAGATGAAAATTTCGTGTTCAAGATCTTAACATACCAGTACTTCAAATCCCCGGGCGACCGGTCGCTTTTGAACAGACTTGATTTTCTTCTTGAGCCTTGTTTTCCTTCTCTTCATTCCTCCTCTCCCCCTGAAGAGAAGGGGGCGTAACAGTTTTAAAGTATGATAAATCTTCATGGAATGTGGCATCCATAGTGACAAAGAGCTTGCGAGTAGGAGGATGGTAACACTTGTATCCTTTTTGATTTGATCCATACCCAACGAACGCACAACGAATGGCACAAGGGTCCAGTTTACTTCTTTGATGAGATGGAACATGAGCATATACAACACAACCAAATATGCGAGGAGGCAACTTGAGGACTGTAGGAAGAGAGACGTGACGAGCCAAGGTGTTCAGTGGAGTTTCAAACTTCAAAACACTACTAGGCACTCGATTAATGACATAGACTGCAGAAAGGAGGGCATGTCCCCATAAGTAGTGAGGGACCGATTTATCCAGCATGTAAGCACGAGTAACCTCAAGTAATTGTCGATTCTTTCGCTCTGCGACACCATTTTGTTGTGGAGTAAAAGGTGTGGAGGTTTGATGAATGATGCCGTGGTCTCGAAAAAATTGTTCCAAGACCTTGTTCACATATTCCCCACCATTATCAGACCGGAATACTTTGATGGAGGCTTGGAATTGTGTGGTAATCATAGCATGAAATTCACGGATTGCAGCGGAAACATCACTTTTATGAGCAAGTAAGTATACCCAAGTCATGCGAGTGCAATCGTCAATAAATGTAACAAACCATCTTTTGCCATTGGAAGAGACTTTAGCAGGACCCCAAACATCAGAGTGAACCAAATCAAAAGGAAATTCTGTCTTATTATCACTTAAGGGAAAAACAGTTCGATGGCTTTTGGCCAATACACAGGTTTCACACTGAAACTGGTGATTATCTAAGCCACGAAACAAAGACGGAAACAAACGTTGAAGATAGCCAAATGATGGATGCCCTAGACGACGATGCCAGAGCCAAATCTGGTGTTGATTTCGAGCTTGTGAGCTGGAACTATGAGTATGAGCTGCCCTTGGTGGTGGAGATACCGTCAAGGAATACAACCCCCCTCTTCGTTTACCATGCCCAATCGTCGCGTGAGTCGTGAGGTCCTGAAAAATACAATGGGAAGGATAGAATGTGGCATAACAATTATGTGAGTCAAGTAATTTTCCAACAGACAGCAAATTGCAATTGATGGAGGGAACAAGTAGTGTATGAGATAAAGATAAGGAAGGGGAAAGTGATATAGTTCCTTCACCAGCAACATTAGAAGGAACTCCATTGGCACTAGTGATGTATGGATGACAAGACTTGAAACTGGATATCTGGACAGCAATGAAGGTACAGAAACATTATCGTTCTTATTTGGTGAAGATCCCGGAGATGACAATCCAAATGTTTGCTGTGATCAACTACAAAATACAACCCCTTCTTCTCAACCATC